ATCAAATTTGATTATGTAGATCAATTAACAAATCTAAGAACTAATAATATCTAATATATAATTGTCCAATAAAATAACAACTATCTAAAAATAACTATTAATAAAATATAAATATGAAATTAACCAATAGAATATAATTCAATTAAATTTATGATATGAATTAATCAATAAAATAAGAACTAAATATTCATATCATAATAATATAATTACCTAATTAAGTAACTTATTATAATATTATTAAGCACTCACTAACTTTCTCAACAACTCATATAAAATGGTAACACTATAAAATATTAGTACTGTATTACTATAGGACTGTCCCATACTAAGTAGACATAATATTTATTAGTAATAGTGAGAGCTTATTTAACTGATAAAAAAAATGCATTGTGTTATTATGATCTGAAATTATATTTAATTTCTTAATTTCTTAATTCTAATTATGTGATTGAATATAAATTGTAAAGATAGCAGAAATAACAGAGTTCTCAGACATATCAACATTATTCACTATTTCATATTTATCTAACATGTATAACATATCTCATATTATAATAACTTAGTTATAAAAATATTTTATATAAATAAAGGATCTTTTGGATAAATTAAAAGACATTAATTGATCAATACAAAATCTAGTTAGTTAATAAACTACTTCTTGTTTATTGTTTAATAAAATATATATTAATTGATTTTATAATTATTAATCTTATTATAACACTTACTTTATATACTACTGAATATTTAACCAAATTGCTATAAAATATTAATATTGTATTGCTATAGAACTATTATTATACTAAGTAAATACAAAGGAAGATATTTATTAGTAGTAATGTTATCTATTCTAAATTAATAGAATAGAAGAAGTTGCACAACATCACAGTCCTAAAGTAATTGAATTAAATTATTAATCTACTGAGATATATATTGATTGAATATTCACATCATGAGATTACTTAACTGAATTTGAAATTTGTAATAATGTCACAATTCTAAAGTAATTGGATTGAATTATTAACTTACTGAGATAAATATTGATTGAACATCTACGTCACAAAATTACTTACCTGAGTTCAAAACTCATGATAGTGTTATATATTTTTATTACTGGAAAATTAAATAATATGCTTGTAATATACCTGAAATAGATCTCACATGCCTGAAATGGATTTCTTATACTGAAATAGATCATACAACAATTATTCATATGTCAAAAATAGATCATAATATATATACAAGTGATTATATAAATATCATCACAAATAAATTCTTTAGAATTAACTTTAAATTATAATTTTTACTACAACCCAATATATAACTCTTCTATTCTTATCACATATATTACTTGTAAAATATAATGAATATATATAACTCAATTTACACAAAAAATGAATTCAGTTTTAAGTATCTATATCAAACCAAATCTAATAGGTCTAAAATTCTTATAAATCATATAATCTCTAAAACTACTATAAATTACTTGATTATTAAATATAATCTATACAGATAAATATCCAGTTTTGAGTGATACTAAATGGAGAGATAATTATCAATTTCTTGTAATTTGTAATAAAAAAATCTCATTTGATTGGAAGAAACAAATTTGGAATTAATTGATGAACTATAAAAATAATAATCACTTGACTGATGATAAAAAGTAATATCTAATTGCAAGAAAGATAATGTAGTTATATAAAAATAATCTCGATTATGCTATAAGTATAAGTATAGTAATATATCATTTGTGCAATAAGCTTGTTTATTCTAAAATAGAACATGGATATGAGTGTGAATTTCATCATTTCATGAATAAACATTGGAGCACAAATTGCACAAAAAATACATATTGTAATATTAGTCATAAAGACTATATGGAACTTAAAAACAGATTTAAAGCTAGTAACTCCTTTGAAAAAAAGTAATTCATCATTATGAATTGTGAATGCAGAATACTATTAGAAGAATTAAATGTGCAAGAGAAGTTGTGAAAAAAAATTTGAGCATGTACTATAATACAGAAAAAATGGCTTGAATATTTCTACAGACCTGATGATCTCTGTGTTTCAGAACTTGCTTAACATTATCAGCTTTTGTGAATTGTTTAAGAAGAAATATGTCATGTTAACAATATATAAATAGATTTATAAAAATAATTAATTTATCTATTTATTATATAACTTATTTTTATATATATATATTTAAAATAAAATTATCTGAGATATTTCTGAAAGTTGATATTTTAGACTTTATTTTATTATCCCTGAGGGCTGGTAATATTTTTTACTTTGTTTTTTTTTATATTAATCTGTTTTATCTGGCACAAAAAAGTTCCTCTTGGTATAAATAAATTACAAAATTTATTTATTTTTTCAATATCTACTTCAACTTCAATCAGGCTGGATACTAATAGCTATTTCATTTGAAAAAAGTAGTGAATAAGATATTAAAATCATCACTCTAACTTCAAATCAGCAGAATCAATCAGCTTCTCAATAATATAAAAAGTGGTAGATAAATGTATTATATTAATGTGCCAATAAATAATTATTATTGAACATCAAACTTTGGTTTACTCATCTAATTTTAAAGCAATATCCCATCCCAATCTAATTGCTAAAGCATTGTCTACTGGCTTAGTAAAATCAAAAATCACAAATTCTCGTTCACATAGATGCTTATAATTATCTTGGATGCTTTTTTGAATCATCCGTATATGACGCACGATTCTATGGATATCGTCTCGACTTTCACTACCTCGAAAGAATAATTTCTAAGAAAAAAAAAGATTATCGTTGATCAGTATTTTATACGTATATCCAAAATTTTGACACGTGATAATTCTGATTTTAATTTATCGTTTAATTAATCAAGGTTAAATAAAGGATTTTCGTGTAAATATATAATTAACTGGTATAATGTAATTTATTTGTCTCGGCCTTTTTCAGGTTCAGAATTCGTGGACTCAGCTGGCAATGTATTTTTGTCTTGCGTTTTTGTCTTAACTCAATTTTCTTCTGCAAATCTAGTGGAGTATCAAACCTTAATCGAATTGCAGGTGGATCATCCTCAGGCGAACTCACCCTTACGTAGATAGCTGTTAATAACCATTGAGGCATTTTTACATCATCACTATATCGACCAGCAATTTTGGAAACATCTTGGTACTATAATAAATCAATGATAACACATATTATGACACCTCATTATTATGACCAAAAAATCCTGCGCCGATGATGTCGTTGACTGTATAGACGCGAGTTACGCGTTTGATGTTTGGCTCCGGTTACTTCTATACAGTAGGTTAACGCAGATAGATAAATTTGGTCATTTAAACGCGTGATGTAAAAATATATCTTTACGTTATTTTCATAGATATTTTAGTTGTTAGTTATGGAACTTTCTAATGGTACGTTGATTTTTGCTTGTTTGCTGAACTAGCCTCATTTTATACGTTATCTTTCAGTTAGTGCACAGTACTTCGAAGCAACTCCCATAGATGGCTGGTCTTATCTTGGATACTTGGAAGCAATGAAACCGTATTTCTACAATTATGCTTCAATAACTTCATTAAAATCTTCGTGGAGAAAAAGTTTCTTGGCTACATTGAGGACTTTTGAAAAGTGCCAAGATCAAGAGAGAAGTGAGGTAGCTACTTCCTCATAAATAAGGTTTGTAAAGCTTTTTTTGCTATCAATAGCAAAATCTGTGAAGCTCTTGGAAGGTAACGTCCTTTACCGGGGGTCGTTAGGTAACGCCCTCTCGCGGAATTTTGCAGGCTTGCTTATATTGCACCACTGAGAGGAAGGTAACGCCCTTGACCTCTTGGAGTTAGGTAACGCCCTCGGTGCTATATATAGCAAGCTCTCAACATGTCTTATGTAGGAAATGTCTTGTATATTTGGAGTTGAACTAATATAATGAAAGATTCGCTTTTTTGTAGAAGAGCAATAAACGAGAAATATCGGAGTATTGGAATCGTATCGAACAAGAAAGAGCATTGAAGACGAGACAAGTATGAAAATACGGGTTTAAATATTTCAATAGAATTTTCACATTAGTTATTAATATGAATGGTTTTAACTGAACAGTTGGCTGTGAAAAACCAAACAAAATCTTCTGCGTTGGATATGCTGAATGTTGCAACCAGCAATCAAACGAACCAAGTTATTAAGTTGTCAGACGAAAAATACCCTAGTATTGAACGTCGGGAAAAATTGGTACAATCTTTTAAAACAAATTAAAAGGCTTTCAATGAGTATGCTTAAAAAGGTTGGGTAATTTTTATTACAGGATGGGCCATCATCAAAAAACGCGAGCTCTAATCCAGATCCGGATGCGAGTGAAGAAGATCAGGAAGAAGAGGAGTCCGCAGATGAAATCGATAAATTCTTTATGGACAAGGGAAATAATGAAAAGATTCGTAACGGTGTTACCAGCAACGATATTGGTAATATTAACTTCGTGGAATGTATGGAAGAATCCAAGCCAATGTCATCAACCTGTCAACGTCCGTGGGTCCTCCGTAGTGGTACAAACGTAGGAGATAAATTGACAAGTTACATCAAGACGATTCCTGAGGCCCAAAAATGTTTGAAGTAAGTTAGTAAGTTTATTGATAGATAATATGGATGTTTGATGATGATTCTTTTAATTATGGATTCTTTTTCACTGAATATTTTTTCGATGAAGTTGAAAAAGTAAGTTAAAAGAAAATATTTTTCTTGTTTCAACACTTTAAAAAATGTTACTGACTCGAACAATTTAGACTACAAAAAAAGACGATAAAGATATCATCAACGCGATCGATAGATTAACCCGGAAATTATTGAAACGAATCGAAAAGTAGAGCTTAGCGATGAGGAAAAAAATGTTATTTCTATTTTAAGACGGGCTGTTGTCGCGTAGTGAGTAAAGCAAAATATAATTAACAAGAACTTTATTTTGTTTTCCTTACGGTCAATTCTTGCACATATAGTGCTGAAAATCTGGAAAGAGTTGATCTTCCCGTTTCCGAGGCTGACTTCGACAACGCATTTCCCAACATGCCTGCCAAAAGATTCTTAAATAGGGAGGAACTAAAGATGGATGTGTAAGTATAGATAAGCAATATGACCAGTCTGATTTCATGTAATCAAATCCCATCTTACATAATTTTATAGCATGTTGGGCGTCAGCCTATCGCCGAAATGAAGGTCGCTCCGTTGTTCTCAGAGCTCGCATTGGACAAAAGTGCGATTTTCGAGGAACTTTGAAAAAGAGTATCAACAAGCTTGAGGCTCTCATAGGTCTCAAAAGTGGTGGACTCCCAGAGCCTCATAAAAAAAAAATTTACGAAGACAAAGTTGATCTAAGCGTGGCCATGCGGGATATCTTATATACGTTCTTTAAAGAGAATTCTAAAGCACCTGGCTCTGATATTCATTCCACATTTGTCTTTGGAATACACTCATGGGGTAATTAAGCAGGAGAAACAATTGTAGTAATGAATTGTATCAACTAACGATTTTTCTTTGTTTTTTTGCTAAGGATGGGTTCCTGGCATCTCTCAAAAATCTTAAAAATAATAATGCAAATAAATAAATAATAATACAAATAATAAATAAATAATGCAAATAATAAATATGAATAATAAAAATGCAAATAATAGTTTCTTGTTAAGATAACATAATTAAAAGATCAAGATAATATAAGTCACAACCAATTTTTATTATTAAAGTAAAATAATATTTGATCTTGATAACTTGATGATGATTCTAAGCTAAAATACATGTTGCTTATATATCTATTTCTATTTTAAATAGAATTTAACACATTCTTATATATCATAAATAACATATAATATTATTCCAATTTGCCAAGTGTTGCACATTTAAATCTAGTATCAACACATGCTAAAATATTATTGGTATTTCTTTGCTATTACACAAATAAAACTAATTAAACATGAAATAAACTTAATATAGCACAAGATAATATCAATATAACACAAAGAAAAATTAAATACATGAGAAGAACCAATTAAAATATAGAAATAGAACACATACTAAACCTTAATAAAATGATTTATATTAAACATGTATTATGATATAAATCTAATTTATAATAAAAAACCAATTAAATTATCTTAATAAAAACCAATTAGATTTCTAATAATCATTATTTTTGTTAAATACTATCATCATATGAGAGAAATATTATTATTATAGATAAATGTTGAGCTTCTCTTGGTAATGATGCTATGCTCATCTAACTGGTCTTTTGCATAAATGTGTCAACAAATAACTAAATAATATATAACATGTCACAATGGTGATAATATATCAAATCTTGACAAAAATCTAAAATAATTCATGAAGAAGAATCTGAAATTATAAATATACTAGAAGAAAATAAATATGAATTTAAATATGAAGAAGAAGAACTCATTGAATAATCATTACTTTGAATTCAAGAAGATAATAAAGAAATATCTATAAAGCTCAGAGTAGATCAGAAGAATGTACAAATAAATGATTAATTAGTAAATCAAATAACTTGGGATCAAATCAAAGTAAAATGATTAGAAAACTTTAATAAATATTTATATTTAACAAAATAATCATACAAGCTTTATCAAAATAAAAAGTTCATTCTTTAGGAACTTGAAATTATCCCAGAATTGGAAGAATTAATACAAGATCAGATACCAGTTACAAATGGATTACTTGCAACTGAAACAAAATCTTTTAAAGCAATTTAAACTAATTTTATATCAGAAGATAATAATTGATTAATAAAAGTTTTTGATGAGTATCAAGATCTTTGTGATCTATCTAAGCCTGGCTGAATAATAATTATTCAATATAAAATCCCACTTATTAATATCAGACCTATTACACTCAAATCATATTACTGAAAATCACCATTAGAAAATGAATTTCTTGCAGAAAAAATTAAGAAGATGGAGAATAATGGAATAATTTCACTATCAGAAAGTTCATGATTAGCTCTGGTGATAATTGTCAAAAAGAAAAATAATAAATTTTAAATTTGTGTTAATTATAAAAAATTGAATGAAATCATTATCAGAGATCAATATCCATTATCTTGTATTGATAAATTATTGGATAAATTCAAAAATGCAAAATATTTCTCAATAATAAATTTTGCAGCCAGATATTGGCAAGTTGAAATAAAATCTAAAGACAGAGCAAAAACAACATTTATCACTAAATATGATCTCTATGAATTTAATATTATACTATTTGAATTAACAAATGCACCAGCAATATTTTAATAGCTAATAAATACTATATTGAGAAAATATATTGGAAAATTTATAGTAATTTACATAAATGATGTAACTATTTATTCAAATACTTTTGAAGAATATTTAGAATATTTAAAAATGATCTTTAACAAAATAAGAGCTATAAATCTCAAAATACAAGCTGAAAAATGTAATTTTGAAAAAATATCATTACCATTTCTTGAATATATTATTAAAAAAGATGAAATCAAATCAAATTCATTCAAAGTGAAAAAAGTTAGAGATTTTCTAATACCAAATAATATTACAACTCTTTGAAACTTTGTTGAATTAGCTTTATATTATAGATAATTTGTGAAAGACTTTGCAAAAATTACCACACTACTTTACAAGTTATTTTATAAAAATCAAATAAATGAATGGATAGCAAAATATTAAGTAGTTTTTGAAACATTAAAACAACATCTTATCTCAGTATCAATATTAATCTATTCAGATTTTGACAAATTATTTATCTTGTTTACTGATACTTTTGAACTGAAACTTGATGTTATACTTGTCCAAATTGGCAAAGATCAAAAAGAGTATATAGTAGCTTATACTAGTCAGAGAGTAATATCAACAGAAAGTAATTATTTAGTAACTAAACTAGAATATCTTGGAGTAATTTGGGCAGTAAAATTATTTAGATTATATCTATATTTTTGACATCTATTAAAATTAATTACAGATCATTTAGCTTTGAAATAAATTCAATTCACCTGGATGACTAGCTTATTGAATAATGTCACTAAGAAAATATGATTTTGAAATAATATACAAAAAAGACTTACTTCATTTAAATATTAATCCATTATTAAAAATATTATATATATCACTACTAACTAATAATGCAATAATATAAATTTAGATAACTATATTAATATCTATAATTATTTATTCTTTTTAATATTATTTAATAACCTCTTAATAGAATAATGAAAAAGATTAATTCAAATAACTTAATTGTACTTTGTTCAAAATCAAACACTATACAAAAGAAACAAGTTGAATATAAATCATCCACAATAAGTTATAAAAATTAATGAAATAGAAAAAGTTCTACATAATGAACATGCAAATATTTATTCTGGTTATATAAAAATTAAAAATATTTATCATAAAATAACTCAAAATTATTATTGATCTTAAATATAGAAAGATATTGAACAATATATTAAAGCTTGTAATATTTATCAACAAAAAGGAAGGATAAATAAAAATAATAAGATAATACTAATCAAATTTAGTGCACTATTTGAGAAGATTAAAATAGATTTAGTTAATCTATTTATAATAATAACTAATAGAAATTAATATATTGTAATAGCTATTGACTATATGACTAAATGAACAAAAGTAAGAGCAATTTCAAATATCTCAGCAAAATCAAAACTTCTATTTCTAACTAAAGATATTATTATCAGATATGAATTCCCAAAAGAACTTATTAGTGATAGAGATACAACTTTTGTTAATCAATTAATGCAAGAGTTTAATGAAAATACTCAAATTAAATATCAATTATTCACATTATTATATTATTTACAAACAAATAGACTAGTAGAAAAACTTAATTAAACTTTGTGTATTACTTTAGCAAAGTATTGTCACCATTTTACTTGAATTTCAAATATATTATATCTTCTTACGTGCTCAACACGTGTTTCAAGTCAGGTGGGAGAGATAAGATAAATAACTAAA